CTACTACTACTACTACTACTACTACTACTACTACTACTACTACTACCGGGCGCATACGGGCACACGGAAACACGGGCGCGTCACAAGTGAGCCAACAGCTCCGCGTCACAAGTGAGTCCGAAATCCGCGTCACAAGTGAGACCCTTTCCGTTCAAAAGGAGCATTCTTAAGAACTTGCGGGCAAGTTCTTGAGAAGCTCGATTTGGTTTCGAGCGATTCCAAGTTTCTGAGTTTCTGCAAATCAATCCAAAAACCTTGTGTTTGGGTGCTTGGCCCAGCAGACTCTAAAGCATCGCCCTGACAAAGGTCTAGCAGCCGACCAAGAATGAAAAGTACTGCAAATCTCGAGATTATGCAAGAAAGCAAGTGTTGAAATGTGTTATATAAATTGTCTGTACTTTTCAGTGTGGTTTGTCTTGCGCCTCGGCCACATGCCGGTAAATGAGCCGCGCTACTCCTTCCAGAACTACAGTACTGGGCTCTATCAAACCTTGACAAAAGATTAACAACAAGCGGAGGCCATCTCTCTCAAGGTGCAGGCCATTGCAATCAGGTTAGAGGCGAGGCCATCGCTCTTAGGTTGGAGGCCAATACTATTAGGTTAGAGGCCATTGGAGGCCATTGCCCTTAGGGTGGCGGCCTTTGCTATCAGGTTGGAGACCACTGCTCTGAGGGTGGAGGCCATTGCTATTAGGTTGGAGGCCATTGCTTCTAATTGGAGGTCATCGGCCATTGCTTCTAGGTTGGTGGCCATTGCTTCTAGGTTGGAGGCCATTGCTCTTAGGGTAGAGGCCATTGCTATTAGCTTCAAGGCTATTGCTTCCAAGTTTGACGCCATTGCTTCTAGGTCCCAGGCCATTGCTCTTAGGGTGGAGTTGCTATTAGCTGCTTCTAGGTCGGAGGCCATGGCCCTTAGGATGGAGGCCATCGCTCTTGGGTTGGAGGCCATTGCCTCTGGGTTAGAGGCCATCGCTGATAGGTTGGAGGCCATCGCTCTTAGGGTGTTGCTATTGGGTTGGAGACCATCGCTAGTAGGTTTGGAGGGCCATCCCTCTTAGGGTGGAGCCATTACTAGTAGGTTCGCTCTTAGGGTGGAGGCCATTGCTATTAGGTTCCTACAATCGCACTTGCCAAGGAAGGCTCACAGTGAACAGTGCTAAAGCACGAGCTAACAAACAAACATAGTCAGCATCACAGTCGACATAGTGACAAACATTGACTCATGCACAGTGAATCTGTCTCACCAGGAGCCTGCCAGCAACCTGTCACTATCTGTAGACAACAAGCGCAAATCGACCTGGTTGCAAATGTTCATCATAACTTCAGGATTGCAAATCTCTGGCAAGTGTGGACTTCCATCCAGGTTTCCATGATCATTTCTTTGTCTTGCAGAACGCTGCACTACCACACACATGCTACACCCTGTGTGACATGTGTCCAAAGTCAATTTCAGCCGAACCTGCGAAGGCCTCCGTTCTATTTCCTCCTGCACCAGCAAGAGTGTTTCTGCTCCAATCAAGTTGGAGTGTGGCTCTTTATAGACGCCAAAAAAAAACTTTCAGCTAAGCAGCAGGCAGCGAAAGCTCTAACTTGCAATTTGTAGCTGGGCCAATCAAGTCTGATTACACAGCTTGCTTTGTCAGTGCTCCTCTTTGCGAAAACCAAAGCCAAGTGACTGGCACATGGAAGCCGATGCGCAAAAAGGATCAAAAAGGTTCAGTTTTGTTGATGTGATTAGCTGCACTACATAAACCCAAATCCAGCAGCAAATGCATGCTCAAGGTTAAGTTCGCTGGGACCGCTCCACTTTAAATCACTGCACGGGCAGCACCGCAGCACCCACGAAAAACATCAACACTTGCTCTGGGCTTGAGCTTTCTCTCCAGTCCCTTACACCTCTGTTTGGGTTAACGGAACACCGGGCGGTCGACTCCTTGCTCGGAAAACCCGCAACTACTTCTACCCCGTTCGCAGATCCTCTATGAATGTTGATGTTTCGTCAAGCCTGAAAGCAAGCTGCTCCACGCCATCTGCGCGCCTCGACAGGTTGAAAAACTGAGGACTTTTTGTCAAACCAGTTGAGCTGGTGAACACTGATGTCATTGGTTGAAGTTTCAAGCACCTGCGCACGCTGACGTGGAGCCAGCGCCATCGCGCGCACTTGGCTGAATCAACAAAAACAAGCTTCGTCCTTGCTGCTCCTGTGAATCAAAGAGTCACTGCTACAGTCTCTGCGATACAGCGTATTTTGATCAGAATGATGTGATTGAAAATATGTTTCGTCAGGTGGGTTACAAAAGCAAAGCAAGCTGAGGAAGTGCCAAACTCATATGCTTCGTGAACCCCTGCAATTGAGGCAGAGGAACAATGGAGTTGGGTCTTTCTGCGAATACTTGTTTGATGACTCATACTTGCTCTGTGTTGACCTTGAGACGTGCTGCGTGATGGCACCAACTCAATCGACTTTGTTAGTGACAATCCAGCTTGAATTCCAGGCATGAGCTGCAAATCAACGAAGTTCTGTTCCACAGTGCCCTACGGTTCTTTCTCCGCAGCGATGGTTCTGTCACGCTTGTTCAATCGAATCGATCTTCAGCATGCTGGATCAAAACAACTCTCGCATCTCTTGTCTATCGCGCATTCTTCAGACTGAACTAAAATCAACCTTTGGGACCCAAGGTCAAAGAGATGTCTCTAGCACTTAGTTCTATCCCTCACGATGCTGAATGCCACTGAGCACCCATTGGGCTTCCAAACTAGCTGCACATGAATTCTTGTAGCTGGAATCGACGAAGTTTCTTGGTCCGGGCGACAGGTGCATTGCATATTGCCTCTAGACCTGGAGAGGTGTGTTTGCGAGAAATGGACCGAACACTTTGTGACTAGTGATGCATACACCTCCGCTAAACAACTCTCCTGACCTTACCGGACACAATGTGCACGGTTGCAATCTGTAGATTTTGGAACTATATAGGGACCGCATTCCAGCCAACTACATAAATTGCAGGCGGAATCAAGTATGGATTCCCAATCCCTAATTGAAAGCTGAAATCTACATGACAATGTGAATTTACAGTACGGCGCTTTTGCCAGTGCACTCAAAAGAACAGGCAATACCCCCAGCCTGCTTAAAGCTGAAAAATGCACTTGGCAAGGGATCTTCCCAAAGCCACTTCTACAGGTACATGAACACAAGACTGGACTATTGAAAAAATAAGAAAGGTAGAAAGCTACAAAGATTTGAAGAGTGCAATGATTTCAGAGCTTCTGATAAACATCCTGGTGTGACTTGGAGAGATCCGCTCCTGCCATCTCACTACCCTGCGCAGCTGGAACTTGCCAGCAAGACCAGTCTCGGGCGCAAGGCCAGGGCACTTCACAACAGGCCTTGGAAGCAAAGAATCAAGCCGGGTGACGTCTCGTGAATAAAGCTCGTTTCAGAATGCTTGCCAGCCCAATTTGCGCAAGAGTTTGTACACATCTTGAGAAAGTAAGCTTTCGTTTCCAAGGCCTTTTTAACAAGCAAGCAGGCATCGCTTGAGGACCTGGTAACTGTCTGGGCATTCAAGTCTTCTTCTCCGTCTCACTTTGATCTCGTCGGTTCAAAAGATTACTGGCCAAAGCTCCTAGGAAGCTCAGAGTAAATGCCACTGCAAAAGCCACAGAGACTCTGAATGGGTCCTTGGCCAACAGAATTGCTAAAGGCAAAGGCAAGTAGGCACTGCTTAAAACCAGCTCGGAGGCTCCAGTCAATAATTCAGTCGAAAGACCGCTGGCCAAATACCCTGCGATGTTCACAACATGACTTTTCTCCATAAAGGGATATGCCGCTTCGATGAAATCTCCAAAGAGCAAGTTGATTCGGAGACCTCGCTGGCTCAAGGCAAGCGTCTCGTCAATGCCTTGATCATCAAGGCTAGGAGTCACAACGAGGTTGGCCAAACAAATGCCGGCAGAAACGCAAACAAGAGTAGCCTCATCAATCGAACCACAAAGAGCCCCTGTGCCAGTCTCCATCTCAATCAATATTAGAGGCAAGCACACAGCATGATAATAGCCATATTTGCTACCCCAACAGAACAGGACTCCGAATAGAAAACCGACTCCAGGAAACCTTCCATCCAAGACAGTATGAATGATTTGACGAATTAATTCAGTGAGAAGCTGGAAATATGGGACGACCGGGGCAATAGTCAAAGCCACGAACACTCCCAAACCTCCTGCAACAACAAGGTTGGTCATTGTCGCAGGGACATCCCAAGCAATGCAGCCGTACAAAACCCGTTGAGCCAATGTGGCCACCAACCAGCCGGCCGAAAGGCCACCGAGGACGGATCTTTCACAAAGGACTGACGCCAAAGCTGATGACATCAGGACGGTGGAACCATGATGTGGGGCCAAGGATGTTGCCATGACAACGCTGCAAACCGTTGGCAATGCATGAGTCTGGAGCAAAATGAGAAGCTTCCGGAGGGTGGCTGGGTCTGAAAGCAATGGCATTACAAGGTTCAAAGCACGACATGCCAAAGCCACTGCCCAAAAAGCTGGTAGGCAAGCACAAAGAATACTCGTCCATTGCGGAACATGCCTTTGAGAGGCAAAGGGGCGGTAGCGCTTGGCCCAAGCAGTTGCCAAAGCATGTGTGTATGAAACGGCTCGCGTGTATGAGGTGGTAAGAACAGATCCACCAGCGTTGCCAACCAGATGGATTCCAAACTTGGAGGAAGCAGCTGAAAGACTCGTTCCTCCACTTCCTGTGACAGGGAGCTTCTTCTCGGCTGCCGCTTTCAGTGTCGAGGAGTGCACGTCCACATCGCAGGAGATACAAATCAAACCCGTGATCTCACCTTTGAAGATCTGCTGTGCCAAGGCTTTGTCTAACTCCACACAACGTTGATTGACGTCTTTCAGCTTCCCACTCTTTACCACTTGCACCGAGCATTCGCCTCCGCTGCCTTCAGAGACTGAATACAAAGTTGCCTTATCTGTGTCGCAGGCAGAATCGAAACCTTTTCCTCCATGGAGTGACACAAACAATGCGCTGGTGATGCCCGATGCATCTTCAACCTTCAGAAGCTCCTGGTGGATAGTGTTCAACAATTCTGCCGGATCCGTGTGACCCAGGGTCGCTGTACCACCACCAGAGCTTCCAATCAAGACTACGGACATGCGGACGACGGGCAATGTCAGGGTTCCCATGCTTTCATGTAGCTCAAAGATGGTAAATGCTGCGAAAGCTTCTCACAAAGAGGGATTGTGATCAATCCGTTTCAGTTTGTAATGTGTCCTTTCCAGAATAGTACAGTAATTGAAGACTCAGGGAAGAGCTTTTGGCTTGCCAAAATGAGCTTCAGACAAAGTTCAAGCCCAAAGCTGAAAGCCATGCTGGTCCGCGATCCTCATCTTTACCATCCTCTGGTGGATTGGCCTGCATGGCTCTGCCGGAGTTGCCATCAAACATACTGCTACTATGGAATGCGTTGTATTCTGCCGCACGCCTATGGACCCTAAAAATGCCAACCAGGTGGCGAAGCAAACTCGCAGTGTTGTTTCACTGTCCGGAACACAATGTTGCCACACATGCTGGGTTCTGGTTCCTGTGGTACTTGTGAACTTCAATGTTCCCAGAGAAGGTAACATGAACAAAGCCTTGTCTTCGGCGCTCGTAGCAACAGTGGTTGCTTCCTGGTATTATCTTCTATGAGACGTGGAACCATGTCAAAACAATTCAATAAACCAAGCATTTGCTTTGGCCTTGGACATTGAAACTTGTATACCTAGGAAAGGCATCGTGATCGCAGCATCAGAGCTTAGCGGATTCCAACATGTGGAGTGGAGGAGAGAAGAAATCTGAAACCGCAGACGATCATGAAGCTCTTCTTTGAAGCGGACAAACCCTGTGCGGGGTCGTCAGCCCCGAACTCTACACCCTTGTGCTTCTCACTTCGGTTTCGGTTCGGAAAGAATGACAGGAGATTCAGCATGAAAGTGAGGCATGAAAGTACTAGTAGCTTCTTGTTACTAGCAAACATTGCTCCTAGTAGTACGGCCAGGAGCCCCTAGTAGCGTCCTTGCTCCTAGTAGCGATGCCAGGAGCCCCTAGTAGCTTCTTGTTACTAGGAAGCATGATTGCAAGTGGTCAATGCGTTGTTGCCTTAGTTGGTGCTTGTCCAAACGAAAGTCGCCAACATTGTATGACTCCCACCGCTCCCTACTCAGTAGCATCATGTAAGTGCATTTGTGTTTGTCAAACAAACTTGGCCAAACAAATGACATCCACGGTACTGCCTCATTCTTTGTTTCCGGCTCATCCACAGCTAATCGGGCCGGTACTGCCTCATTCTTTGTTTCCGGCTCATCCACAGCTAGTCGGGCACTTTCAGGTTGCGGTTGAGGCTTCAAATCATCTTGATCATCTGATTTGGCCTTCAAGGACTCCCAGACACTTCACTAAGAGCTCTTTCAGCTTTCAAAAATGAAGAAACGATGTCGCACTGCAGCACTAAATCAAAGCTTAGAATCTTAGAATATCTTAGAATGGTGTACAGAATAAAACAGGTTGCATCTGAATCTCAATAACGTAAATCTGCACTTTTTCATGTCCCTGAACATGCGCTCCTCGCTTTCTGGTAAGGAGGTGCTTGCCAGGCTGTCCAAACGATGAGTGGCGATGCACATCCTGTGAAATGTCAAGGCCAAAGAATAAGAAGTTTGATTCGATTCTCGTCTTGTCTTCTGTGAACTGTAAAACCAATGGTGCCCCGTTAAAAATCAGCAAGCAAATACATGCATGACATACATCTGAAATTTATGACTTTGTGCAACCAGAAACTGCACGTCTAACGCATGTTTCTTGTTGGCGGAGAGGTATGCGGGTACACCGGGGAATCTGAAAAGCTTACTTTCCCAATCTAATTTCTAATTGCCCTTTGTACAGTATCTCAATGGCAACAATAACAAACAATTAACGACTTCAATAGAAAATGTTGGCACCTCAGCACATTGAAACTCGGCAAGAGTAAAGGACACAATTCTGGGTGCAGGCCAACTGCGAAATATGGTACCTTCCTCTCAGCTCATACAAGCAAGGTGCTCCAAAAAGTCCTTACAATAGCCCTCCAGAGGTCCTGGGTTCTACGGCACGTACAGGTGACGTGCATACAGCTGTTGTAGCTGCACCATCAACCTCAGACTCGGCATCCTGACAGCGCATACATCTCAACACACCACATATGAAGGGGAGTGTAACGGCATTGACAAACCTGGAAAATAAGAACAAGGACAGGAGTCAGCGAAACAAGCCCGAAGCCACCTTGGACGTAGTTTGTTCACTGCTCCAGGCCTTTTGCGATTGGAAAAAGCGAGGCTCAGCATAGCCGAGCATTACAAATATGCTGCGCAGAGTTTCATTTCAAAAGCGCAGTAGGCGATCCCCGAGTTTTCAGGCAGCATTGCCTGGGCGTTCTGCGCGAGGCTGGCGAGGCTCCAGATGCCTTCCGCAAAAGGCTGCCACATGTCAGCCATCTCGACCTGGGAGATTCAATTTGAGACGAGGAAACCTATATAATAGCGATGGCCTCCAACCTACTAGCGACGGCCTCCAACCTAGAAGCGATGGCCTCCAACCCAATAGCAATGGCCTCCATCCTGCCTCCAACCTCCTAGCGATGGCCTCCAACCTACTAGCGACGGCCATCGCTCCAACCCAATAGCAATGGCCTCTTCTTCCTACTCTGAATTTTACCCTCGGGTGGCCCACAAAAGGAATGCTAATGGCTCCTTCCCACTCTAAATTTTACCCTCGTGTGGCCCACAAAAGGGATGCTACGTTGTAATGGCTCCTTCCTACTCTAAATTTAACCCTCGTGTGGGCCACAAAAGGGATGCTGCCTCGGACTGGCATCTTCCTACTCTAAATTCTACCCTTGGGTTGCCCACAAAAGCGATGCTGCGTTGCAATGGTTTATTCCTACTCTAAACTTTACCCTCGAGCTGCCCATGAATGCTACGTTGCAATGGCTTCTTTCTATTCTAACTTTTATAAACGACGCACATTTCACGTGCACAGACGATGCCCTGCCCCACCAGCAGACCAGAGGACCAGGGGACCAAGGGACGACCAGAGGACCAGGGAACCAGACGAATGGACACTAGTCACCAAAAAAAAATTATTGATGCTTATTATACCTGAGAAGCGGGGACGAAAGCCAGCAGCCGCCAGACGAGTGTCTCTTTTTCTGGCGGGCGTCGCGGCACAAGACACATGGTCGGCAGCTTGCGAGTCAGCGGTGCCGCGGATGCGGGGGGGCGTATGTAATGATGATTGAGGGAGCAGAGAAGCAAGCCGGGCGGCTGTGGGATAAGTTTGGTAATTATGAAAGAAGCAGTGAAAGAGAAATGCGATACGTAAGTTGGTGTAGGTCATCATCACTTACAAGGCAAAGGCATGTGTTTGTCACGCGCAGGAAGGCATGCACCTTATGGAAGTTGGAAGGCGACATCAGCGTTAGAGAAAGGGAAATACAGTCCGGGTTCGAGTGGTGGGATACCACATGCGGGCGCGCGCACGCGCGCGCGCGCGCAGGAAGACCTTCTCCATAGTGAGCGTCCCCGCGCGCGAGCAGCGCGCCCGCGCGCACGTGCGCGAGCACGGCGTGCGTTTGAAAAGAAACAATTCTGTGTTTGTTGCATTTGGAGTGTTTGAAGTTTGCAATGCATACTGCGGCACGTCGACAAGCCTTCGTTGATTTGGAAGAGTGAACGGCACGTCTTAGCCGGGACACGGACGTTTGATCCCACGGCGCAGAAGGGGAGGTCCAGCAGAGTAGCTTGGGCTAGCAAAGGAGTGAGGATTTGTGCGCCTATCGATGCACATGCCTGGACTTGAGTGAATCATGTTCTGGCCCGATCCAAAACACAGTCTTTTTCCTTTAAAGAGGCCTTTATTAAACGATCCAAACACCTTCTCTATTCTTCTCTTTCTTATCAACTCTGTGCCTTTCTCACTCAGAGGCCTTGACTTTGGCACCTGCATGTGTAGATCTTTGGGCCGTGGACTCAGGCTGACTGGATTCGGCCAGGGCCGCCAGCAAAAAGGCGACGTCATGAGTCAGTAGTATATAGAATTTATCTGTCTGTCTATCTATCTCTATCTCTATCTCTATCTCTATCTATCTCTATCTCTATCTATGTATGTATGTATCTATCAATTTATCTATCTATCTATCTACCTACCTATCTATCTATCTTCACCGGCAAGCCGGAAAAAACGTTCGGTGCGTGTGGACGCCGCGAGAAGCATCCACTCGACCGAGGACATGGTGCAAGTACAGTTTTTGCTAGGGGGCAGGAACCCTATGCGAATATGTAGTCAACCTCGCAGGCATCCCCGCCGAAGTTCAATCCAAATTCATGAGGTACTTTCGGCTCTCTATGGATTTCGCGAGTTACGGGTTGTCCTGGGAACTCGTATCCTACATGCAGCCGCGGTCTGCTCTGTACTTCTGTCCCTGTCTCCACTCGAGTGCTCAAATGCCCATTGTCCAAATAGCCTCCAAAGCCCTTCATGATGCTAATGATGCACTACTTGGCGTCCATTGCATCACTCGCATCACCAGACCCCATTTTGACTGCTTTTCTGACTCTCGCTTTGGAGCGCTCTCCCCCACCAAGCTCCAGGTTCACCCTCTCAAAATGTGCCTCTCAGCACCCTCCCCCCCCCACACCCCCTTAACTCACTTCGTTCGCTCTAAAAGCTCACGCCGAGCCTATCGGCTGATGCGTATCAATTTCTTTATTGATGCTCATTTTTCGATACCTCTCCCAATAGCGATGGCCTCCAACCTAATAGCGATAGCCTCCAACCTGCCTCCAACCTACTAGCGATGGCCTCCAACCTACTAACGATGGCCTCCAACCTAATAGCGATGGCCTCCAACCTACCAGCGATGGCCTCCTAGCGACGGCCTCCAACCTAGAAGCGATGGCCTCCAACCTAATAGCGATGGCCTCCAACCGATTAGCAATGGCCTCCAGACTAAGAGCGATGGCCTCCAACCTGATAGTGATGGCCTCCAACCTAACAGCGATGGAGCGATGGCCTCCAACCTAGAAGCGATGCCCTCCAACCTAATAGCGAGGGCCTCCAACCTACTAGTGATGGCCTTCAGACTAATAGCGATGGCCTCCAACCTAGAATCGATGGCCTCCAGACTAATAGTTATGGCCCAACCTTATAGCGATGGCCTCCAAGCTAATTTCGATGGCCTGCACCCTCATAGCGATGGCCTCCAACCTAGACTTAGAAGCGATGGCCTTCAGACTAATACCGATGGCCTCCAGACCAATAGCGATGGCCTTCAACCTGGCAGCGATGGCCTCCAAACCTACTTGCGATGGCCTCCAGACTAACTAATAGCGCTGGCCTCCAGCCTAGAAGTGATGGCCTCCAGACTGATAGCAGGCCTCCGACCTAATCACGATGGCCTTCAGACTTATAGCGATGGCCTCCAGCCTAGAAGCGATGGCCTCCAGACTAATAGCGATGGCCTCCAGCCTAGAAGCGATGGCCTCCAGACTGATAGCGGGCCTCCGACCTAATAGCGATGGCCTTCAGACTAATAGCGATGGCCTCCAGCCTAGAAGGCAGGGATGGCCTCCAGACTAATAGTAATAGCGATGGCCTCCAACCCGATAGCGATGGCCGTGTGTTGTCCCAAAACTCAAAAGGAAGACTTCTGAGCCCCGCCTTCAGTTGGTTCCAGCTTTGCTCCTGCGCACATCATCGCATGTCGACCGAGCCACACACCCAGGCCCACCCTGCCTGAGCAGAGGAGTCTGGAGAGACCTCCAAATCACCTTGGCCAGACAAGCAGTAATATGTTGCAGGGCAGGCTTGCGTCCACTATCTGACTATGGGCATCAGCATCGCAAAAAAAGTTTACAGAAGAGTGTATGCCATACAGTGCTTTCTTGGAAAAGACGGATCTTGCTATGGCTGGCAGAAGCTTTAGAACAGAGACACATCAAATGTGCCAAAGATGTTTGTTGCGAACCGCTAAAGAAGAATGAAATTGGCTCCTGACTTTTGGGTCACAGGATCCTTTGCATGATGACTTCATCGAAGCGGAACAGACCGATGAGGTTGATTCGGGTCTGGCCAACTGTTGTAGTACTTCGGTGACATGTTAGATTCTAGATTCAGTGTTCCAGAATTGCTTGCTCATCAGAATGGTGATGGCGTTTATCGGACTGCACTTCAACCTGTTTTCTTCGCACGAGGCATGTCTTCCTAGCTGAACCCCACATCACGCTACACATGGAGTGAAGCAGCAACGCCTTTATAAAACTTGCCAACTTGGGGTTCGATTGGCACACAAATGTCCATCGCTCGATCACACACCTGACCTTGCACCGAACCATTGAATAGGCACTTGACCTACAATACATGGTGGGTTGTACTATTTTGCGAGCATTCAAGACCACTAGCACGAAAAGGTTTAAAGGAAGAAGCCATCTGGATCAACGGGCAGAGTAAAAGGCAAAAACAGAACGAGAAAAACAAGATCGGTACTCCAATCCCCCAAAACCCTAAAGGCAAAGACACAAAGAAAGAAAGAAAGTACGGAATGGAGACTGATCAGGCAAAAGCTGAAGACGAAAGCCAGGAAATCTTGGAATGATGTTCCACTTCAATAATACCCCTTGAAAACGCTTCGGTTCTGAATATCTAATATCTAGGAGAGGACATGGGCAAATATGTTTGAGTTAGTATTTGGAAGTACCAAAGAGCTTGTCTGCCAAGACTCCCTGACAAAGCACCTCCGAAATATGGAGCAAAGTATTTGCAGGCCTCAAGGTGGACTAAGGTCACATAAGCAAAAGCAGGCTAAGTGACTTCCATCGGCTTGCTCACCTGCTCTTGGTCTCAATCTCAGAACTGATGCTCATGCTTGAATTCTTGCCAGGGAGCTCATTGTGAGGAGACGCCATGAGAGAAATGTCTCTGTTTCAAGATCAATATGTCGACTCTATATATATATATATGTGTGTGCGTGTATGTATACATAGTTCCTTTGCTAGCATGCTCATAGAGTCATGGGGATCATAGTAGCACTGAAAATACTGTAGTCCATTTACGCTCTGCAAGGTGCTGTTTGACGATTCCATGGACTCATGACCCTCTCTTGCATCAAATCTTCGGATAGCGCGAGCCGGTCATGACAACACTTCGACAGCTCAAGGGTCCAAATGGGAAACAAGTCAGGCCTGCACTGTCAAAAAGTAGCGGCGCAAAGTTTACGGAAACATTTTTTTCGGCTGTGGAGGGTTCTTTGACTCGCTCACTCGCTCACAAGAGCTCGCCTCACCAAAGCCTTCAAGCACGAAGCAATACTTTCTTGCATCTTGTTCTTTGGCCAACCAAAGCATATTTAAAAGCAACAACCTGCATGGCTTTGCAAATCAAAGCTTGTGGCCGGAGCATCAAAAATGTTTCCAACAGACTTGACATGTCCTCGCAAGTGACCAAAAATTGACTACAGTATAGTATTTAAAAACTTACGTTTCCAGGTTTCCAGGAACAAACAAATTGATTGATATCAAGAAACTTCTCCTTCTAGTGTGTATGTGGTACCGTGTTTGCAGCACTTTGGGCTGTGAGTGTCATTTCTGCTGATATTCAGAGCACTCTGCGGCTCTGAGTGTCTTTATCTGCTACTGTAGCAATTTCAGGATGTAAGTGTTTGTTTCGCAGGTATTTGCCGTGCTTTGGGGCTCTGAGTATCTATCTAAGTCTAACTTGTTGGTATTTGTGCCGCTTTGAGCATGAAATGTGTAATTACTCGGTTTGCTTGATTGGGTTATTTGTTAGTTTGTTGGCTTTCCAAACTTAGAAGGTTCAACACTTGCATTGGCGAGAGCTAGGCTGGTTTCTTCTTGGATTGTGAAGAATAGGATCTTTGCATGGCTTGTTGCTTGGTTGCTTGTTTGTTTGGGTATAAATGTTTGGACCAGACGACCAAAAGAATAAAAACCTTGGACCCAAAGTTCAGAGGACGAAAGGACCAGGAGAGCCGACCGGACTGAAGGACCAGGACAGGACAAGGCGAAGGACCAGGCGAACAAAAACAAAAGGCCCCAGGGACTAGGAGACTAAAAGACTTCATCTTTCTCTGATGCGAATAAATACCTGTGTTGAATTGAAACTGTGAGTGGAAAAGCACACGACCCAAAGCATACCTTTTTTTCGTGAAGGTCATGAACACCTGAAAAGGTGAACCACCGGTCAAAACGACCTGCGTTTGGCTCAAGGAACAACGTGAGCGGCTGTTTTTGTCGGTCGCTC